CAGCCAGCTGTGCTCTGGGTGGGAAAAAAACTTATTCCCCTGCATCAGTTTTGAATGTGCTGCCTTCCACTTCCACTGCTCTGGTCCCTGGGCTTGTGAGACAAGGCGGAGGGAAGTGCCCCGACCTCCCTCCGCTCGCCCGTCCCGCCCATCCCCCTTCTGCTTTAAAACCCCATTAACGCTCAGCATAGATAGTGGGCGCGGGGTCTGAAACGAAACTGTTCTCTACATCAGCAGCTACAGGAGCCAGGGCGGGCGCCAAAAACCAGGACGCAGCTGCAATCGCCCGCCATGTGAGCACTCCATTATTGATGAATTAAAGGCCACTACTGCAGCTAACAGAGCCCACTCCTTCTGATGCCAACACGCGCGGCATCAGAGACGTTTTGCTCCGACCCTCTTCCTAAGGAGACATCTGCTGGAATAGCTGAGTCAGGTGTCTCTCTAGTGAACGTATCCGTCATCCTACTCATCCCTCTAGCCATCTACCCGATCCATAATCCATCCATAGCCATATCCTTCTACCCGTCATACGCATCCCTCTATCTATCCATAAATCCCTCCCCATACCCACCTGTCTATCCATCCATCCCTCCCCATACCCACCTGTCTATCTATCCATCCATCCCCATACACACCCCCTCTATCCATCCATCCCTGTATCCACCCCTCTAGCCATCCATCCCCATACACACCCCCTATCCATCCATCCATCCCCATACCCACCTATCTATTCATCCATCCCTATATCCACCCATCTATCATAGAATCATAGAATCATAGAATATCTGGCTTGGAAGGGACCCCAGAAGGTCATCTAGTCCAGCCCCCTGCTCGAAGCAGGACCAATTCCCAGTTAAATCATCCCAGCCAGGGCTTTGTCAAGCCTGACCTTAAAAACCTCTAAGGAAGGAGATTCTACCACCTCCCTAGGTAACGCATTCCAGTGTTTCACCACCCTCTTAGTGAAAAAGTTTTTCCTAATATCCAATCTAAACCTCCCCCACTGCAACTTGAGACCATTACTCCTCGTTCTGTCATCTGCTACCATTGAGAACAGTCTAGAGCCATCCTCTTTGGAACCCCCTTTCAGGTAGTTGAAAGCAGCTATCAAATCCCCCCTCATTCTTCTCTTCTGCAGGCTAAACAATCCCAGCTCCCTCAGCCTCTCCTCATAAGTCATGTGTTCTAGACCCCTAATCAATTTGTTGCCCTTCGCTGGACTCTCTCCAATTTATCCACATCCTTCTTGTAGTGTGGGGCCCAAAACTGGACACAGTACTCCAGATGAGGCCTCACCAATGTCGAATAGAGGGGAACGATCACGTCCCTCGATCTGCTCGCTATGCCCCTACTTATACAGCCCAAAATGCCATTGGCCTTCTTGGCAACAAGGGCACACTGCTGACTCATATCCAGCTTCTCGTCCACTGTCACCCCTAGGTCCTTTTCCGCAGAATTGCTGCCTAGCCATTCGGTCCCTAGTCTGTAGCGGTGCATTGGGTTCTTCCGTCCTAAGTGCAGGACCCTGCACTTATCCTTATTGAACCTCATCAGATTTCTTTTGGCCCAATCCTCCAATTTGTCTAGGTCCCTCTGTATCCTATCCCTCCCCTCCAGCGTATCTACCACTCCTCCCAGTTTAGTATCATCCGCAAATTTGCTGAGAGTGCAATCCACACCATCCTCCAGATCATTTATGAAGATATTGAACAAAACCGGCCCCAGGACCGACCCTTGGGGCACTCCACTTGACACCGGCTGCCAACTAGACATGGAGCCATTGATCACTACCCGTTGAGCCCGATAATCTAGCCAGCTTTCTACCCACCTTATAGTGCATTCTTCCAGCCCATACTTCCTTAACTTGCTGACAAGAATACTGTGGGAGACCGTGTCAAAAACTTTGCTAAAGTCAAGAAACAATACATCCACTGCTTTCCCTTCATCCACAGAACCAGTAATCTCATCATAAAAGGCGATTAGATTAGTCAGGCATGACCTTCCCTTGGTGAATCCATGCTGGCTGTTCCTGATCACTTTCCTCTCATGCAAGTGCTTCAGGATTGATTCCTTGAGGACCTGCTCCATGATTTTTCCGGGGGCTGAGGTGAGGCTGACTGGCCTGTAGTTCTCAGGATCCTCCTTCTTCCCTTTTTTGAAGATGGGCCCTACATTACCCAGGTTCCAGATGGCCTCGTACAACCTGCACTGGCTCAGACGCTGGTCTGGCCTCACCACTCTGGTATCTGAGCGAGCTAGATTGAAGCAGTGCTTAATTTCTGCCAGGGCTGAGCCCCGGCGCCTCCGGGCCCGGCAGGTCAGAGCCCGGCGCCCCTGGGCCCGGCAGGTCAGAGCCCGGCGCCCCTGGGCCCGGCAGGTCAGAGCCCGGCGCCCCTGGGCCCGGCAGGTCAGAGCCCGGCGCCCCTGGGCCCGGCAGGTCAGAGCCCGGCTCCCCTGGGCCCGGCAGGTCAGAGCCCGGCGCCCCTGGGCCCGGCAGGTCAGAGCCCGGCGCCCCTGGGCCCGGCAGGTCAGAGCCCGGCGCCCCTGGGCCCGGCAGGTCAGAGCCCGGCGCCCCTGGGCTTGCTGCATCCATTGTGAATGTAAAAACGTTGCTCGAGCTGCGGCAGCTCTTCGATTACAAATTTAGCGCTGGATTGAAGCCGGCTCCGGTACAGCTCTACCAGCGGCTCTCACACCCACGACTGCACGGGGGACCTGCCACAGGAAACTTAGCGTATTTCCCAGCCCTAAGGGAACACCAGACCCTGCCACCTGCCAGGCTAATACTGGTCCTCAGCTGGCTGGCTTTGGCCTAGGCTTTGCCGGGCACGGCCACTGCCTTGCTGACGTGTCCTTACGTAGACTCGCTTGGTGATGCTTCCAGCCGCTGTGCAGGGCAAAGGTGATGTTTGGCCCACAGAGGATGTTCCCGAGAGACGTGGAGGCTGTCGGTACAACAGTCATATGCCAAAAGGCGACTAGGGAAAACCAGGAAAGTCCCTACAGTGCCTAAGAGGTAGATCACGCTCAGTGGAAATGAACCAATCAGCAAAGCGACAGAGTAAGGTGGAAGGAGAGCAGACAGGAACAGTTGTGTAAACTGAGTCATGCACAGACACACCGTGTGAGCGATATAGGACACATGATGCTTGTTGCCGACTGGAGGCACGTTATGATTATGTCATTTGGATGGGTCGGTGCTGGGCATTGTGCTGGACTGTAAGGGGGCAGCTGGAGCATTGTAGGAGGAATTCATTGTGATCTGTTCAGGTAACACTAACAGACCCTGGTTGTCCTCGAACCTGGGACCTCTGGAGCTTAGTGCATGAGCCTCCACTGCACGAGCTAAAAGCCACATGGCCCTTAGCTAAGGCTGTAGAGCGGACACATTAATCTGTCTCTCTAAGTCAGGGGTTCTCAAACGGGGGGTCAGGACCCCCCAGGGGGTTGTGAGGTTATTACCTGTGGGGTCGTGAGCTGTCAGCCTCCACCCCAAGCCCCGCTTTGCCTCCAGCATTTATAATGATGTTAAATACATTAAAAAGCGTTTTTCATTCATAAGGGGGGGTGCACGCAGAGGCTTGCCGTGTGAAAAGGGTCACCAGTACAAAAGTTAGAGAACCCCTGCTCTAAGCGGTCTCGGTGCGAGGTGTGAGGGTTACACTCACGCCCCAGGAGACGGTAACCGGCCATCGTTTTTTTCTGCCTACCTGTCATTTGTTGCTTGTACAGTAGTCGTAGCTGCAAGCTCTGCTTTTGGCTCAAATAAAGGGTTGAATTAATAACTCTAAGTGTCTTGACCAGAGCCCGTCAGCTGCAGGAGAGCTGCAGTGCAGCCGGTCCTGGCTATAGGCAAACTAGGCAGCTGTCCAGGGTGGCAGATCCCTGGGCAGATACCTAGGGCAGCATATTTGGCCCTGATGCCCCTTCGTCATGACAGAGAGGCAGCCAGGCCAAGTTTGAGTGGCCCTGAAGCCCTGTGCACCAGGTCACTATGCCACTCAGACTTGGTCCAAGCCCCGCAGCTGGGCTAAATCTGCTTCCCTAAACCTGGGGGGGGGCAGCGCACTGCAGCTTTCTTAGGGCAGCAGCTTGTCTTGAGCTGGCTTTCCTCTGAGCTCACACAGCCGGAGTGTGTGCAAATGTGGCATGGTACAAAACTGAAGCAAAGGGATCTGGGTGGATTTGTGTCTTGGGAGTTGCTTCAACTGAAGTGGCGAGGGGTGCGCCTGAGGCTTGGCTTCTGCTTCTCTGTGGGAGGCGGGGACGTGGGGTGCATGTGGGCAACTAGTGAACATCTGTGTGTGTGTGTAGGTGTATAGGTTCACCCGTGTGTGTGTGCACATGTAGCTTTGCATGTCAGTCTGTGTGTGTGTGTGAACATCTGTGCATGCTTGTGCGCAGATACCATTTTGTGTGTGTGCATCTCTGTGCTCATCCACTGGTGTGTGTGTGTGCACGCACACACACTCGTGCATGCTCCTCGTGTGGGCAGCCATGTATGCACACCCATGTTCATTCAGTGTGCATGCATTCGCACCGGCAGGTGTAGCTGGAATTGTGCATGTTTCGGCAGAACCCTCATGCTGTTGCTACATATCAGCATATCACAGCACCAGCCAGCAGGCTGTGTGGGGGAAGGGGTGTGTGTGTGTGTGTGGGTGGGTGTGCGCGTGCGTTCACACATGCTTGCACATGTCCCAGCACATATTTAATCATTCCATTGATTGCTCAGGCCTGGCCAGTCTCTGCTCTGCAATCAATGCAAGCCATTCTTTGGAAATAAAACACTCTCGAATGGAGCAATTCCATGCCACCTCTGGGGGTGGGGCAGAGGTTGCTAATCAGCGCCAACAAGGGGTGACCAGGCCTTTCATCTCCTCTGTACCTGGCCTCCCACCTACTGCCAATCCCAAATGAATCCACTTCATAATAAAAAGAACAGGAGGACTTGTGGCACATTAGAGACTAACAAATTTATTTGACATAAGCTTTCGTGAGCTACAGCTCACTTCATCGGATGCATTCAGTGGAAAATACAGTGGGGAGATTTATATACACAGAGAACATGAAACAATGGATGTTACCATACACACTGTAATGAGAGTGATCAGGTAAGGTGAGCTATTACCAGCAGGAGAGAAAAAAAACCTTTTGTAGTGATAATCAAGGTGGGCAATTTCCAGCAGTTGACAAGAACATGTAAGGAACAGTAGCGGGGGAAAATAAACATGGGGAAATAGTTTTACTTTGTGTAATGACCCATCCACTCCCAGTCTTTATTCAAGCCTAATTTAATGGTGTCCAGTTTGTAAATGAATTTTTTCTGTTTTTGAAGATTTTTTGTTGAAGAATTGCAACTTTTAGGTCTGTAACTGAGTGACCAGAGATTGAAGTGTTCTCCGACTGGGTTTTGAACATTATAATTCCTGACGTTTGATTTGTGTCCATTTATTCTTTTACGTAGAGACTGTACAGTTTGGCCAATGTACATGGCAGAGGGGCATTGCTGGCACATGATGGCATATATCACATTGGTAGATGCGCAGGTGAACGAGCCTCTGATAGGGTGGCTGATGTGATTAGGCCCTATGATGGTGTCCCTTGAATAGATATGTGGACACAGCTGGCAACGGGCTTTGTTGCAAGGATAGGTTCCTGGGTTAGTGTTTTTGTTGTGTGGTTGCTGGTGAGTATTTGCTTCGGGTTGGGGGGCTGTCTGTAAGCAAGGACTGGCCTGTCTCCCAAGATCTGTGAGAGTGATGGGTCGTCCTTCAGGATAGGTTGTAGATCCTTGACGATGCGTTGGAGGGGTTTTAGTTGGGGGCTGAAGGTGATGGCTAGTGGTGTTCTGTTATTATCTTTGTTGGGCCTGTCCTGGAGTAGGTGACTTCTGGGTACTCTTCTGGTTCTGTCAATCTGTTTCTTCACTTCAGCAGGTGGGTATTGTAGTTGTAAGAATGCTTGATAGAGATCTTGTAGGTGTTTGTCTCTGTCTGAGGGGTTGGAGCAAATGCGGTTGTATCGTAGAGCTTGGCTGTAGACAATGGATCGTGTGGGGTGTGGTCTGGATGAAAACTGGAGGACTCACACCTGCAATGGGGACATAAGAATGTCCATACTGGGCCAGAGCAAAGGTCCATCTAGGCCAGTATCCTGTCTTCCGACAGTGGCCAATTCCCAGCTTCTGGCAAAAATGAAATAAAAAAACAGACGGAGTTTGCATTGTGTGGCTAAGCACAGAATTCAGCCCCGTATGTCAGTGAATTCCACAAGCACATGCCAAATCCCCATCTGGTGTAAATCCAAATCAGCAGTAGCTCCATTGAAGTCAATGGGTCCAGATCCCCATCTGGTGTAAATTGACACCGCTCCATCAACATTAACAGGGCCCTGTCAATTTATACCAGCGAGAGATCTGGTTCTTTAAAGTAGTAGTCTAATCCAGGCTCACTTGCCAAAGAGCATTAGTTTAAATGAACAGGCCTAGATCGTTATTAATTCCTTATGTTGCGCTTAGTTTCTTAAAGCTGCCACGGACAGATGTTGATATTAGTTTAAAAGCAAGTTAAATCCCCAGCCCTGACTTTCAGCCGCTCTCATTAGAGGAACAGGCCTGCAGAAAAACACACCACAGGGATCAGAGAGGACTGCTTGAGAAAAGAAACTGCATTTTTTCACTGGCCCATTGCTAGTTCTATTCCTCAGAAGGATAAATCCAAAGTGCCGGAGCCAGACGAGCTGAAAACAGCACCAGATTGAAATTCATGGGATTCAAGCTCATAAAAATTTGATTACTTCAAATTCCCTGCTCGTGGCTGATTTTAATGTTCTCTTACTGATCCATATTTAAGAAACGGTTTATTTTACTGAACCCTCTTCAGACTCAGCCCTTCTCCAGCCCCTCTTCTCTCTCTCAGTCCCTCTCGTATAAAGCGAGAAGATAATTGCAAAGAAATAAATTATGTGGCCGAATCACTGTGCCAAGTATGAATGGCTGCCAGGCTCTGCGGATTCATCCCAGAGCAGCATCAAGGGCTTTTTGTGCATTTCCTTAGGCCTGGGTGCTCAACTGCAGTCTGGAACCGTATGTCCCTTCTCCATCTCCTGCATATAATAACTGGGGTTTCCAAAGCGGGTCCTAGGCAAAGCCTCCTCTCTTTGGGTGATCCAGTCATTGCTGTAGGAGATGCAGAATGGAGAGCGCCTTTTGCACAGCGGCACTGCTGAGTCTAAGCCCCCTGTGTGTCTCTAGACCTCAGGGTAAAATTGTCAAAGGCTCCTAAGGCCACAAAGGCCACTTTTGAAAATGGGATCTTGGCTCCTAAGTCACGTAGGCGCTTTGGAAAAGGTTGGCCTTTGTGTCTCTCTTTGCCTCAGTTCCCCCTCTGGGCTCTGGAACTATTCGCATGGCCCTGACTTCGATGGGTGCCATGAGGATCAATAAATTAACAGAGTGTGAGACTCTTAGGTAATGAGAGCCGGAAGCTAGCGAGGCCGTTCTGTGCAATGAACAAGGCTATTTCTTATTCCTGAGCGCCTCTCTCTCCCGGGTGAGCGCACGGCAGAGCCGTCACCGCCAGTAGCAGAATTCTCCCGCTGCGTGGAACAATGCAGGCAGGATGTTTATGGCCAAATATGCAAATCAAGGCTACTCCCAAGTTATTTAAAAATAATAATAATGCAGCTAAACTGCTGTGTCTTGTTTTCAGCACCACAATAGACTGTATTTAATTGATATAATTAAATTCTACTCTGTTCCTCTCATTTACGACTTATTTGTAGCGTAGAATAATTATTTAAAGTGCTGGCCCGCGGGAACAAGCTGGAGCACTATCCAAGATATTGAAGAAGTCAGTCACCAGTTGGTCTGCTTTGCTACAAAAATAACCTCGGCATGTCCCCCGGCACCCTCCAGCCCATCCCCACCCCCAGACTTGCCACCCCTTCATTCATCAGCAGCCACTAGCATTAATGGCAACTGTAGTGGAGCAAAACCCAATTCCTCTGACGTGTGCTGAAGGCTGCCCTGGAATGCGAGAAACCCCATGGAGCAGGAGGCAGGACACCTGGGGGCTGTTCCCAGCTCTGACTCTGCACCCTCGGGACCCTATGCTGGGCGCTGCCCAGACCCTGACCGAGATCAGGGCCCCGTCGCGCCAGGCGCTGCCCAGACCCCAACCAAGACCAGAGCCCCATCGTGCCAGGCACTGCCCAGACCCCGACCGAGATCAGGGCCCCATTGTGCCGAGTTAGCGTTGCCAGGCGTCTGGTTTTCAACCAGAATGCCTGGTCAAAAAGGGACTCTGGCGGCTCCAATCAGCACCGCTGACTGGGCCATTAAAAGTCCGGTCAGCGGCGCGGCAGGGCTAAGGCAGGCTCCCATCCCTACCCGGCTCCGTATGGCTCCCAAAGTGGTGACATGTCCCTATGGCTGGGGGGTGGCCACGGGTTTCCGCATGCTGCTCCCGCCCCAAGTGCCAGCTCTGCAGCTCCCATTGGCCGGGAACCATGGCCAATGGGAGCTGCGGGGGCGGCACCTGCGGACGGGGGCAGCATGCAGAGGACCCCGTGGCCGCGCTTCTGCCTAGGAGCCAGCCAGAGGGATATGCTGGCTGCTTCCGGGAGCCGCCTGAGGTAAGTGCTGCCTGGAGCCCACACCCCGAAACCCCTCCCGTGCGGGGCAAGGGTGTTCAGTTTTCGACAATCAGAAAGTTGCCAACCCTATGCCGGGTGCTGCACACATCCTGACCCAGATCAGGGCCCCCTCATGCCATCTGCTGCATGGACACAGAGCAAGAGCCAGTCCCTGCCCAAAAGGATCATTCTCCCCAAGTTACAGGTGGGAACTGGGACCCAAAGAACTCCAGGGACTTGCCCAAGGTCACACAAGGAGTTTGTGGCCAAGCAGAGCAGTGAACCCACAGCTTTCGGGACACAATCCCAGGAGCTTATTCCTTAGGCCCTTTGGTGCCGGGGTTCTTATAGCTTCACTTTACAAAATCTTCCTTTCCACTTGTTTGTGAAGTATCTCATTTTGTGCCCTAGGACTGTGGGTTCTGGCAGAAGTTGCAGGGTTCAGTTTGGGGTCTTTGGCAGGAGAAGATAAACACACGTTAGTTTGCACCAAAACTCTGTCTGACCCCCCCCCCCCCCCACCCTCCCTCTGCTCCGTTTTGGAAGTGGGGTGTCCTGATTTACCCAAGAGCAGGTTTTCACACATTTTAAAAAAAAATATCCATTGGAGACCTTCACAATCCAGAATTTAAAGTGACTTGCCATAAGGCTCACAGCCAAAGGCATTTGGGGAATATTTTACTCTAAGGGAACATGCATGCATATTTAATTAGTGCTCAGTAAATAATTCACCAGAATTGATTTTTTATTAATAAACTAATGTGAGATGGATTATCATGCCAGGATTCGGAGACAGGTACACGAGCGTGTGAGCTTTATAAATGGGGCTGTGCAACTGGATTATTTTAAAAGCTCTCATTTCCCAGCTCTACCTTGTGTTGTAACAGGCTGCGCCGTTTCTTTTTAAAAAACAATTTCCACAAATCACTTAGCACCTGTTATTCATAGCATTTCTAAGCATTACGTGGAGTTCTGTCGTGTCACTGAGGTTTTCACAGAAACGGTCTAGGAATTCTCACAGACCAGAGAAACCCCATTAGCCACAGCAATCCTCAACCAACCCCACTGTCTGCATTTCCTCTGGGACACAGCAAGAAAATGGGATTTTAAGAGCTGAAAAAACTCTTGACTAAACAGCACTTAAAGTCCAGGTTTTCAGTCCCACAGCTGGATGCAGCCATGAACAATGAAGCCCAGTCACCTCAAAGTATTAAAGAATTTATTTCTTCAGGTACCACGGAAAAAAAAAGAAGTTAACAGCCCTGAAAAATATTCTTCTAAACTTCCACCCCAGCAGGAGCCACTTTGTCTGGGGGCCATTCAAAGGGTGGGAAAGTGACAGGCACAGGCAGGCACATAAGTAACAATTATTATGAGTGGCAAATCGTTACGACCAGCTATGATCTGCATTACCCAGAATACAGCTCCTAAAGGGCTCTGCTTGGTTGCAATTGGGATAACGAATACACCACTGGGTTCCTGGTGGCATGGATGACTGGGCTCGGGATGGTTGGTGTTCAGCGCTGATGCTGAAGGTGGTGGGGGGGTGGATGAAAGGGGTGTAAATTTTGCATTTATTTAGCACCCTTAAGCCAAGGTCTCAAACCACTTTACAAAAGGGGCATTCGATGCTGCCAAATGCTATCCAGGAACCAAGAATGTCAGCCATACGAGATGAAGGATGAAGACTCTATCCAGGAAAGTCATGATCCTGTAAAGGATTTAGGGGCCATGGGTGGAAAGCAGCCGAACATGAGCTTCCCGTACACTGTAGCTAAGAGAGTGAACTCAGTGTATAAACAGGCCATATGGAGCAGGAGCAGAGAGATAGCTTTACCTCTAATGGAAAAGGTTCAGGAAGGCTACAAGGATAATTCGTGATCTGGAAAATCTACCTTGTGGTGAGAGACTGAAAAAGCTCAATCTATTTAGTTTATCAGGGAGGGTTAAGAAGCAACTTGAGCATGGTCTGTAAGTATCTACATGGTGAGAAGACAGGAGATGGCTCTTTAGTTTTCCAGACAAAGAGAGAACAAGATGCAATGGGTGGACGCTGAAGCCAGACCTGCTCAGACTGGCAATAAGGGGCAGCTTTTTAACGGTGAGGGGAAGTAACCATTGGAACACGTTACCAAGGGTCACAGCGGATTCTCCATCGCCAGAAGTTCTGAAATTGAAGCATCTTTGTAAAAGCTCCTCATTCGCTCAATCCATAATTACAGGATCAACGTGGGAATCGCGGAATGGAATTATCTGGCCCGTGTCAGGCAGGAGGTCAGACCAGATGGTCAGAATTGTCCCTTCTGACCTTAACATTGAAAGGTGGATCAGTTCCACTATCTTCATCTCACAGGCAAGGTTCAGACAGGAAAGGTGACTTAACCATGTTCACACACAGCAAATCAGCAGCAGTTCTGCGACTAGAACCCAGGAGTCCTGATTTCCAGCCCCAGGTTCTAACAACTAGACCTCACCCTAAGAGGTAACATTCTTCAGAGGAACTGTTAAACTGAGGTCAAGGCATCTCAATAAAAGCTATCCATCTTATTCCAGAATGCGGGGGGGGGGGGGTTGTTTTTTAATTTTACAGAGGGCTTCAGAATGAAACTTATAATGAAGATGCAACATCAGTGCCAGAGATTTTACTGTCAAGCTGTCAAAATAATATCCTTAATTCAGTTCCCACTGTCATCAAGAATGTCTGCGTATAACTGACAAGTGTTAACCTCTGCATCGTCAAGGCGGGATAATTCACAGCACAGGGAAACATGCAGTTTATGTCTAACACGTTCGTTCACGGTTTCTGAATTAAATCAGAGAAGTGCAATGCTAATGAGTTTATCAGGTCTGAATGCTCCTGGAAGAGTTGACGGGATGAAAAATACTATACATGATAAAACATCAGCATCTCTTCTAAGGTTTTCTTTTCTAAGGTAAAGAAATTACCTGAAATGCAAAACCTCCTGACGCTACGCAGACCTTATCTAATGACAGACTCCTAAATATTTAAAGGAAGAGCACAACTCCATTAAGTAACTCAACAATCAAAACCAATTACAACCAATTTCACCTCAACAAACATTTTCTTCTCCTTTACCGTTTTCACTACAAAATTAGCAAAGCACCCAGGGGGCCAATGAACCTTCCCTAACTCATTTTCATAGAATCATAGAATATCAGGGTTGGAAGGGACCCCAGAAGGTCATCTAGTCCAACCCCCTGCTCGAATTCCCAGTTAAATCATCCCAGCCAGGGCTTTGTCAAGCCTGACCTTAAAAACCTCGAAGGAAGGAGATTCTACCACCTCCCTAGGTAACGCATTCCAGTGTTTCACCACCCTCTTAGTGAAAAAGTTTTTCCTAATATCCAATCTAAACCTCCCCCACTGCAACTTGAGACCATTACTCCTCGTTCTGTCATCTGCTACCATTGAGAACAGTCTAGAGCCATCCTCTTTGGAACCCCCTTTCAGGTAGTTGAAAGCAGCTATCAAATCCCCCCTCATTCTTCTCTTCTGCAGGCTAAACAATCCCAGCTCCCTCAGCCTCTCCTCATAACTCATGTGTTCCAGACCCCTAATCATTTTTGTTGCCCTTCGCTGGACTCTCTCCAATTTATCCACATCCTTCTTGTAAGTGTGGGGCCCAAAACTGGACACAGTACTCCAGATGAGGCCTCACCAATGTCGAATAGAGGGGAACGATCACGTCCCTCGATCTGCTCGCTATGCCCCTACTTATACAGCCCAAAATGCCATTGGCCTTCTTGGCAACAAGGGCACACTGCTGACTCATATCCAGCTTCTCGTCCACTGTCACCCCTAGGTCCTTTTCCGCAGAACTGCTGCCTAGCCATTCGGTCCCTAGTCTGTAGCTGTGCATTGGGTTCTTCAGTCCTAAGTGCAGGACCCTGCATTTATCCTTATTGAACCTCATCAGATTTCTTTTGGCCCAATCCTCCAATTTGTCTAGGTCTTTCTGTATCCTATCCCTCCCCTCCAGCGTATCTACCACTCCTCCCAGTTTAGTATCATCCGCAAATTTGCTGAGAGTGCAATCCACACCATCCTCCAGATCATTTATGAAGATATTGAACAAACATATTGTTCTAACACACCTCACTGCAACATGGAGTCCTGTTATTATTTCTGGTCTGCCTGACGGAGAGACGCCCCAGCAACAGACAGTCAATTTAACTTGCCTGAGACGTGCAGCCGGGAAGTGAGGTTAGCAGCGAGGGGTTTGGTTCGTTTGCATCCCCATCGTGATCTGTGACCTTAAAAGAATCGTCTGCTCATGAGAACTATCCATCTCTCTTGGCAGCAGGGTGCAAAGATTTCCCTAGAAGTCACAAGCCATGGCCCCACTCTGTGATCACAGCATTTCCCTAGCGGCACCCGTCGAGCCTGCAGTACGTTGTGCCAGGTGCTGTACAGACAATCCTTACCCTGAACGCTCACAATTTAGACACAGGAAGAATCAATTCCCCATTTCACAGATGGGAACTATGGTCTGGAAGTGTCTCTGGGAGAGCTGGGAACTGATCCAGCTCTTCAAAGTCCCACGACAGCCCATTCCGCTTCCTCTGTCCATAACACCCACCAGGGCCCTGATCCTGACGGGGGGCAAGGAACCTTCTGTAAGGCCAATGGCATAACACATGGGCTTGCCTTTCAGTCACTAGCGAGCGGGGACTCGGTTTGAACCAGGCCCCCAGCACTCTGGCGCATAGTGACAGCCAGTTCGGACAACAGGCAGATTTCTGGAGAACTGGCTGCTCCCAGGGTTACTCACCTGCCAGCAGAGCGCATAGAAATCTTGCCATGTGCAATGGTGGGGAAGCAAAACACTCTGCCTGCAAAAAAACCAAAAACTCGTTATGCACATCAGCCTGAGACTCCCATGATACAGTGCGGCGGCTCTCCAAGAGGTGCGTCGTGGTGCATCCTGGGAGATCTAGGCCAACCACTTCAGCTGCCATTTTTCACCGGTGCACCTTTCTCATGTAGAAAAGCTCTTTGGAACAGGTTTAAACTAAAAATGAAATAAACCACCCTTAATCTGAAATCAGACCATTCACACAGGGGCTTGCCTAGGCTTAACTAAGCCAGTTTGAGTGGAGTGCACTCTAAACTCCTGAAGTGGAGTGGCTGGTGTTACACTTGTTTCCCTTTGGTATGGGTTGAAAGTTGGTCATTGCCTCATTTTGCAATCCCCACCCCTCTCCATGCCTCCTTGCTGCATCTATGGGGCAGGACGTGTGCAATTCAAGCACCGTAAACGGGACTGACGTGACACGGGGGAGGCGTATCACACCATCGCTATTGGCTGAGCTTAACAGGCTAATGATTTCGGTTTATGACACGCAGCTGCCATAGCTTTTCCAATTACAAAGAAAGAGCCATTCACAGGGAAAGGTGCCTCCATTTATTTCCCTGACAATCGCATTTTCCTCTAATTGCTTTTCTTCAGTTAGCTGATTAGGGAAATGGGAAGCGGCAGAGAGCGAGAGACGGGGGTTTTATCCTGGGACAGCTCCCGCTGGGGTCCTTGCTACAGCGCACAGGGTTGTAAATTCCTCGGTGGCGTTGCTCTGAGAGGCGAGGCGTCAGGTGAGAGGCACTGGAGTGGCATCATGGATAGGGCAGAGGTGGGCAAACTGCGGCCCGCGGGACCGTCTGGCCCGGCCCCTGAGCTCCTGGCCGGGGAGGCGAGCCCCCAGCCCCTCCCCCTCTGTCCCCCTCCCCCGCAGCCATGCCGCATGGCATGAGCGGCATGGTAAGGGGGTGGCAGCGGCATGGTTAGGGGGTGGCAGCAGCACGTGCGCAGTGGTGAGGGATTGGGTGGGGGGTTCCGGGGGGCAGTCAGGGGACGGGGAACAGTTGGATGGGGCAGAGGTTCTGGGGCAGTTGGGGACAGGGAACGGGGGAGTTGGATGGGAGTCCCAGTGGGCCTGTCAGAGGGTGGGGGGGATAGGGGCCGGGGGACAGTCAGGAGGCAGGGAGCAGGGGGGGGTTGGATAGGGGATGGGATCCCGGGGGGGGCGGTTAGGGGCGGGGGGGTCCCGGGAGGGGGCGGTCAGGGAACAAGGAGCAGGGGGGGTTGGATGGGTCGGGGGCTCTGAGGGGGTCAGTCAGGGGCCAGGATGTTTGGGGGGCACAGCCTTCCCTACCCTGCCCTCCATATTGTTTTGCACCCAGATGTGGCCCTCGGGCCAAAAAGTTTGCCCACCCCTGGGATGAAGCGTTGGCCTGGGAGTCAGGCGAGCTGAGGTCTATTTCTGGCTCTGCTGCAGACCTGCTGAGGGACCTGAGGCAAGTTCCAACTTCCGTCTCCTCCCACCCTGCGTCTGTTTCAGTCTGTGAGCTCTCTGGGGCAGGGCCTGGCCTAGGGACCGGAATAATCAGTTGCATAAATACAATCTGGGAAATGACGGCCAAGGAAGGAGCACTGCAGTAACGGGTCTGGGGGTCAGAGTGGATCACAAACTAAATGAGTTAACAAGGTAACACTGTTGCAAAAAAAAAAAAAAGTGAACATCATTCTGGGATGTATTAGCCTGAGTGTTGTAAGCAAGAGATGAGAAGTAATTCTTCTTTACTCAGCGCTGATAAGGCCTCAGCTGGAGTACTGTGTCCAGTTCTGGGCACCACCCTTTGGGAAGGATGTGGACAAACTGGAGAAAGTCCAGAGAAGAGCAACACAAATGACTGGCGGTCGAGAAAACTTGCCCTACGAGGGAAGATTGAAAAAATTGGGTTTGTTTAGCCTGGAGACGAGAAGACTGTGGGGGGATGAGGACATGATAACAGTCTTCGAGTACGTAAAAGGACGCCATGAAGAGGAGGATGATAAATGGTTCTCGTTATCCACTGAGGACAAGCCATGAAGCAATGGACTTAATTTGCAGCAAGGGAAGTTTAGGTTGGGCATTAGGAAAAATGTCCTAACTCTCCGGGTAGCTAAACACTGGAACAAATTCCCCAGGGAGGCTGTAGACCACTGGCACCACAGGGTTTTAAGAACAGGTTAGACACACACCTCTCAGGGGTGGGCTAGCTAATATGTGACCCTGCCTCGGGACAGGAAACTAGCAAGGTCCATTCCAGTCCTACATGTTGATGATTCTGTAATGGGGGGTCCCTGATTTCAGAGGGCCCCTTAACGTGCTGCTGTAATGCAAATAATAAATACTCCGCCCGTGCAAACAGCTCCTTTGCCTTGTCAGCACTGGGGTTTGCATTGGTGCACTACCCCGGGTGCTGGGCTGTAGCCAAGGTCCCCCTAGTCGGACAGACAATGGTGCGTGAACGCTCTTAAAACCCCCTCTTGGGGCTGACAGTTGCCAAAGGGGTTTTCTGAAGGCTGTGTCATCCTCCAAGGCTATTTAAGGAGTTTGCAGGCAAAGGGGGCTCTGTGTCTAAGGGGAGGGGGGTAATTGGGGTCTGTGGCTTTAAGGGATGAGCGTCTGTGACGCTCTTGTTACACACAGCCGACCCAGAGCAAACCGCGCTGTACAAGCCCCCTTGAACTCCGAAGCCCAGCCCCACAAAGACACACGGGCACCTACGCACGCAGTCGGCGACATGTGCTGCAGTCACACCTAGCTCCGACGGCAGCGTGGACGTACCCCTCGTCTGACGTCTCCGCGCTTTTCTACTTCCCAAAGCGTTGCCCTTGACACACCCCCAGGAACATAAATCCCACCCCAGGGCACCACGGCACATGGACAGATTTTCCCCTTCTGGTGGGATGGCTGGCTGCAGCCTGGGGCCAGCCCTGGAGGCAGGAGGAATCCCTGGTTAACTCAGGAACATGAAGCCTTCAAACCAGGGCTTTAGAAGAGAACCCCACGCTGCTCTGAGAGCTCAGCTCCAGGCCTGGTCAGATCTAATACCGAGAGGGGAACCGCGGTGTTAGAGCTGCAGGTCTCCCGCTGCAGGAGCAAGGCAGCTGTAGCGTCCCTCAAATCTGGCTAGCCATGCCCCATTGTTTTGGAGCCTGGTGGGGCCTTTAAGAAGAGACAAGAAGCTCGAGCTGAGTGCACGATTCACACTAGAGCCCATTTTTGCGGCCCATAGCTGCCTGCAGACCCGCCACGAGCAGATCCCAACTTCCGACCTTATTCCAGTTGGAGAAAATCTTCTCCAACTTTTTACGCTCCAGCCTGAGCACTAAGGTGGGTGATTGGACTGTTAAGTCACATGGTATTAGTTCTGTTTCCTGATTGGATGAAGTTGCAAGCACTTCCAGCACAAATGCTTGCAGGTGTGAATTTAAATTCCTGCCTGGGGCTGTCAAATCCTCTTCTGCAGGTAAAACACGCTGCTGGCTGATGAGGGGCGTGATAATCGCTCTACATGTTCATTTCGTTCAAATGAATATTTGCAGGGACTGGTTGCATTATTTGCCCAGGTCTTAAACAGCTGCACAGAGTATAAAGCCAGACAGGGCTGTTATGATCTCATCTGCCTTCCTGTATAACACGGGCCATAGGACTTCCCTGCATTAATTCCTGGGTGAAGTAGAGCACAGCTTTAGAAAAACATTCAAGCTTGATTTTAAAGTTGCCAACGATGGAGAGAAATGAACTGCACAAAGCGCCCACCCGCAGTTGTGAATGGTGCTAAGTTCACATGACACTGCGTGCACTGTGTTTGCATGCTCTCAATTCCACCAGACTAAATCCAGAGTAATTCTCAAATCCGTGGAGTAACCCTGGATTTACACCAGAGCAAATGAGCAGAATTTGTTCCCTTGTGTTTACAGCTCAGCTAGGGTCTAGGTTGTCTGCATTGTGTAAGCAGTGTGGAGACTTGATTTACAGTGTGCAGTTTTGTGTATAAATTACAGACACCCCTATGCATAGAGTTTAAGGCCAGATGATCATCCGCTCTGCTCTCCTGCATAACCCAGGCCAGAGAATTTCATCCAGTATAGGAGTAAAGGGCTTGATTCCCTGCTGCCCTGGGCAGACATTTCCACTAGTGCAAAGTGGGTGCTAGCCACAAGAGATCCTAGTGGAAGCCTTGTGCACTTAGGGGCCCTGGGTGCTTTGTGATCAGCGCAGTAGGACGGAGCAGCACACTGGAATTGGCACCTGTCACTCAAGGTGCGGTGTTGGAACAACCTGGGCCCCCTGCGTGACCTTTGGTTTATCTGCAGACCGACACTTATTTTATTTGTGATTTGATTTCAACGCAGCAGTTGCATATCTCCTGAGCAGGCCATTATGGCATGTTTCTACAGAGCAAACAGGTAATTAAACCCGAGAGTTTGCTAACAGCTGCTGCGTAATCAGGAGCTCTTTGCTAATAAGTGGTCCCTTTTCTTTTTATCCAAACACCACGGACATTTCCTCCGGGCGCTGGGCTGCGTGTAATGGACACGTCCCCACACTCTGGGCTGCAGCTTCAAAAATTAATTATTCCACTTGAACTAAACAACTATTTTGATCGTCAATTGCTCCCAGCTGCTACTGTGTCCTAGGAACAGCACTGCCCGGATCCATCGTGTGGCCAGATACAGAGATGTGACCATGGGGCTGCTCAAAGACCTTTCAAAACCCAGCGCTGCAGGTCAGGTGGTGCTCATGTGCAAGCTGATACCCAGAATACTCAGCTAGTTCATGGAGCTGCTGGGTGGGTCTGAGGCACGGGAACATACTAAGAAACCTGGATCTTCTTTCAGGAGACACTGGGTACAATTTTGCATTGCCCTCCACCTTGTGAAGTCATTTATACCAGTGCACAATGCTCCCATTCTGCTTTGGTAAAATCAGGATCGGGGCCGCATCACACTGGGCGCTGCACAGACCTTGACTGAGATCAGGCCCCGTTGTGCCATGCGCTTGCT